GCCACAGGGGTGTCAAACTCAGTTTCTGGAAGGCTGCAGCCCTGCAGAGTTTAGTTCCAACCTTGCTCAAACATACATACCATGTAGTTTTCAAATAAGCTCGAAGGACTCGATTAGCTGGATCAAGTGCATTTATTTAGGGTTGAATCTAAACTCTGCAGGGCTCTGGCCCTCCAGGAACTGAGTTTGACACCCCTGATTTAGACCCTATTTAAAAGCTCACAGTCTTCAAAAGAATGTGTCATACCTAGCAACGGGGTCAGCCCCGCCTCCTCACTAACATTAAAGTTTTTGTCTTTTCCTCGCTCAGAGTTGCTCTCTGATTGGTCCTGAATCACTCTTAAACTAAGACTGCTAGTTAGACATTTTTAAGCTAAATTAGGACCTCTCTGAGAGGATTCTTAGAAGCTTTAAGAATACGGGCCCTGGACTTTCAATGGAGAGACAGAAACCTTTTCATCTGCGTTTCAAGGATGAACCAAAGTCTTATGAGTTTTTGAACAACATGAGGGTAATTGTTGACAGAATTTTCATTTTTGGGTTTAAGTCACAAACATGGTGACAACTATCCCGATATAAAAATGAATAAAATAAGATAAAATAATAATATTCTATAAAAGAAAGATTATCTTTTAATCTTTTATAGTACATTGGTCTAACCATTATGCAGAAAATATCGACCAAATTAGTTAAATATAATATAAGGTATAAAAGTTTTTCATATGAAACCAACATGAATACAAAGAGTCCATCTGTAAGAATTTGGTACATCTTTTTTAAGACCTTTCCATTTCTATTTCGTGAATACCTTTTACGTCACTGACCCAAACAGTAAGTGAATATTGCAGAACACAGTGGATTTTATTATTGGTGTAAAATGTCTTGACTAACCCATGCCGCAGGCTTACTCCTCCCCCGGTTCCTGTCACCCAGCCCAACTCATAGAAGAGTCTGCAGAGCTCTGGGATCAGCACACGAGGATGTTCCTGATCCTTCAACAACAGCATAAGATCTGTTACTGCATAACACACACTCCTCATCAGATTTGTAATTGACTCGATAAGAAGGAACCGTATAAACTTCTGAGAAACAAACAATATCGAGTATTTCAGAGACTAAACAAAACCAGGGACAAGGACATTATATTTATAGTTTTACCCCTATTCCCTGTCCGTTGCACACGTGTACAGTGTTCACGATCGACGACATATTTATCACACTGAAAAAAATAAAATGATGCGGAAAGAGGCTCAAGATTTTATGATTAACATTTCAGTTAGTTTCGAGGCGCAAAACAGCTCAAGCCAGCGCGTGATCAAACAACAGCAAGCGCTGCAGCGGAAGGCGGAAGTGCAGATCTTTAAAAGATAAAAGACCCCCAAACAAGTACGTATGTACATCAAAACACAAACACACACACTCGCGCCTAAATTGGCAATAGCATAGAATCGTATTGATTTTATATACAGCTAGATATAAACAGTAACATAACCCTAACAGAAAATTTTCTGCATTTTTACAATTAAAATATGGTTAAGGTACACAAGGTTAAACAGAATTAATAGCACATTTTTATTTTTTTATTTTTAAGAATAATGGAAGACCTACTATAACAGAGAAATGTTGTTACACAGTTTTAACACGCTGCTAGTTGTGAGAATAGGTGTTCATGAACAACTATGAGGATTCTCTGCAGACACAGACAACCCTGCAAAAGCTCATGCTCAATTTCCAGGATTGGAAATATAATTTGCGGACATCAGGGAGCCCCTGTCAATATGTGAGAGATTCCCGGACCTTCCAGGAAAGGTGGGAGACATAATGATTAGGGATGGGCGTATCGATCCGAAGTATAGATATATCGATACTCAAACAAAAACATCGATACAAAGGTGCGTTTTATTTACCAGTGGTTTTGTTTATTTAACAAAAATAATAATAATAATGCGTACAATATGCATTGAATTGGACGAATAACCTTTGTTAGCGAGTTAGCATTTGTTTGGAGAGGTGCACGTCAGGCTACGGCGTATGGGTGTGCGTCTATGCGTAAGCTACGGCGTAGGTTCGACGCAGAAGTATAAATCAGCCTTAATTGTGTAGGATTGAATGTTAAAGACTTGAGTAAAAGCCTGTCGTACTTTCTTATTGATATATTAAAACTTTTTTTTTTAACATTGACAAAACAGGTAACATTAAGGTCCACTGAAGTGCCTTGAAATGCGCAGCGTTATTCTGTGTGGTGTGTGCTAATCATTTTCACAAATACATGCCGTAAAATAAAGATAACATGAAAATCTGTATATAAAATACCAAAAAATGGATGGTTATTGGTTACTATAGTTAAACCATGGTAAAAACAACATGTTTTGCTACACTAACCATAGTTTAACCATGGTATTTGTAGTAAAACTGTGGTTATAGGCTACAATTGGTAATAAAAACGCCAAAAAACAAACAAAACAAAAACATGGTTAGCCTACTATACTTTTACTATAGTAATGCCATTGCTAATTTTTGTAAGGGATTGTGTATAATAATATGAAATAAATGTTTTAATAGATTATGACATCACAAAATATCAGGGAGTGAGATTTATTTGATTGCGATGCGAAGGAGGGTTTACTGTAAGCCCCATCAGAACTGGGTTGCGGTGCAGGGGGACGGGACTAACGACAGATCATTGCAGTGTATCAGTCATATACATCGTCAGATCAGGTTTTTTAACTTATTAGAGGTACAGAACGCCACACAGCAACTTTTCGGCATTGCACCAAGCAAAAATCAATCGAAATCATCACAAAAAGTAAAGATCAAGCGCCTAACAAGGTCTCCGCGCGTTAATTCGAATGGTTTGTTTTCCACCTCGGCAAGTCGGCATAAACGGTTATGACGTTTTTGTGGACGTTCCCAGCAATGCCGAACAAGTCTCTTTCAATGAAACGGGTTGTTGGATAATTTGTATTATATATGAATTGTTTATATGATCTTAGCTCCACATTTGTTTTGTAAATCCATTTTGTGAACTTTATGTGTGTTTAGAAATATATTAAGGAAATTAGTGTGTTTTTGTAAATGCATGACTGCACAAACTGACTCTTAGTTCACAGCCTTAACACTGAGCCCAAGAAAGTGACTTTATTAAACCTATTCTTCCACACAAGTTAGACACAGTTTTGATACTGACCACTTGCAAAATTATGCAGCTCATGGTCTTTCATTAACTTATCTTGTAATGATAACTCCAGAAAAACAAATATCCTTTATAGCCTGGAATGATAAATAATGCTTTCCCCCTTTCTCAATATGTTCCAATGTCATAGACTGAATTGACTCAAGAGACTCATGATACTTCTGATAAACTTCATAGGTAAAATGTTAAGGAAATTGCCAAGTTATTTAGTAGTTTATTGAGTTCCATTTAAATCCACAAGAGAAGAGAAAAAAATGTGATAACCTCCTACCAGCCACCTTCACTTTCTTCCCGCACTTGAGGAAGTGAACGTGTATCAGCACACATGAGGGCGAGGCCATTTTCCACACACCTGAGTCAGCCACACCACAGCATGTTCGCACTGATTCACCATAATACATGAGGCCACCCTCATGTGTTCATGGTATTCATGGTATAGTTAGGTTTAAACCTGGGTTAAGGGTACATGCAGACGTATTTATATAATTTAGGGTACATTTCAGATCAGGAAAAGGTTGCAAAAACAATATGCTTTCTCAATAAACAACTATTGGTTTCAGTTTATACATTTTATCAGTGTAACTTATCTGCTAGTTGCCAAGCCTAATCATTAAACTATTTTGATATTACCAAAAAAAAAAGTTTTTCAGTTTGTCAACTATGTTGACCAATTTCACAATTTTGACTAATTTCAATGGCAGGCCTTGTCTGGCCAACCAAATATTATTTTCTTGAGCCGGTTAACATCAAATTGTAATATTTATTTGAATTAAAATCACAGAACAATTGCAAACAATAATAATGTACCCAACATAGTTGACAGGATAATAATATACTCCTTGACAATAAGTCATTGGAGCTCAAACATAGAAAAAAAAAAAATAATTATCATAATGTGTTCATAATGTCTGCCACAGAAGAAAATGCCATCACATGACACTGGTCACAGTTTTATGATAAACCATTTTTTTAGTTTTTAGGGGGTATTTGGTAAACAAAATTCAATTTAAACCCAGCCTGTTTTTCTGAGGTATTTAGATTGTAGAAATAAACTTAGTTCATTAATAGATAATCTTGACTTTAACATTTTTATTCATTATTATGAACTCAAGACTCACTCAATTCAAAAAGCGGAATTGCAAAAACTGTAATTTTTTTACATAATTATTTTTTTTGACAAGACATAAAAATACATTTTCAAGCCACCCGAAAAACAGAGTGCACAAAATATATGTCGTATTCTCTTAATTGATCAAATTTGATATTTCTGAAGAAAATTGTTAGAAATAAACACAATTCCGTCAGACATGAAATGTACCTAAATTATGGAATGACCCATGCATATACAGTATATATTTTACCAAATATTAATAGAAGTACAAAAAAATTATGATAATAATAATATGCACAGTAAGTGAATTGCATCAAATTATTAATTTATTACTTAGTACATAGTTGTTAAAGGCACTTAATATAACGTGGGTCCAATGTTTTATACAATGTTGTGTAAGTGACTCCCTTCAGTTGAACACATGAATCATTTTATTTAGATCAGTGCAAATAATACAGTACAAAATGACTACACATGTACTTAATGCAATACTAAAATTGCAGCATGCATAAACAAACTGGTCACTGTAACTCCAGATAAACCAGAACTGTTATGCAAATGTGTCTGACATGTTAATGGCTGCACAGACGCAGATAGAGAGGAAGTGTGAGAGACAATGACAAGGGTGTGTTCTTCATAGCACCACCCATCATTGCACAGAGTGTGTCACCGAGTACTTTAGTCTGAGAATATAAAAGAGGTGAGGTACATCTCCAGAGGGTTCAGAAAATTACAAAGACTGGAAGAGAATCAAAGCATTGTAAGAACCATACCGGTTCAGGGCCAACAAACAGGTATACTTCCCTTTATCTAGCACATGACACAGCACTGAACATGTGGACTTTGTTACTTGTATTTGCTACTGGATCACCAGCTCTACTTCAGGCAGCACCTGTTCAGGGTGAGTGATGGTGAACTTACTTTTTTTTTTATCTCAGAAGGGATTACTTATTTATCTCAGAAGTGCTTTGGTAGCGAGTGTCTTTCCACACCTTGTAGTCGTGGTCAAGACAGATTTACAACTGCAAGATGAGGTCATACTTGCGATACTGATATGAATGTAGTAGTGAGATTGTAACCCTTTTTGCTTTTCACAACAAAGGCTATGGTTACAAAGCCCATAATTAATCTGCAGGTATGACAATTTCAGCTGACTTCTGCTGTTATCTGTGAGACTTTAAAGACTGCATCCATAGAGGAAAAACTGAATCATAAAGGAAAATGAAAAGTTCCCACATTTCCACTCATACATTTGAATACGTTTTCCAGTTAATCGTGAGTACATAATTTCTAGATTGACATTTGCATTCCAGGTACGGAATTAATACATTAAAACGATTATTCTTATTAAATCTTCAAAACAGTCAGGCTGATAAATTGCTAATATTATTTTGTCTAAAAATAAACAAACAAACAAAACAAAAATAAATAAATAAAATCAATCATTTTAAATGCTACAACTGAAATTAGGTATGTACATTCTAAAAATGCATATCTGAGATTTGATAAAAATGACATTTAACAGGGTTATCACATTTTTAAAGATTAACTTTAAGTGATTAAAGCGTTAGATGATGGCAAAAGTCATTTTAAGGATCAGATGAATGTGAATAACGATTTTTTATTGTTTACTTTTAGTGCATTGAAGATGTTCTCTGTAGATAAATTTCAGAATATATGGCTTAAGATAAAGGCCTAGGTTGTATCACATAAACTTTATATCTTTACGAATGAAATTTAGATCTGACAGGTTTTTAACTGATATCAGTATGGCTACAGATAAGATAAGTTCCAGAGTAATGACCTTTCTGTAATATGGCCCCTGGCTTGTTAAGTTTATTGTACATATAACACATTATCTCAGTTCCACAAGAGTTTATTAATCTCATATGCCTCCTCAGACTTTAACTTCATTGCAAAACAAATATTTTCTTACTCAGTATTAATGTCTTGATTTCCAGTACAAATATCTAAACATTCTTAAATCAAGATCCAAAATGACATAAGCTATTAAATCTTGCATATGAAATGATTTTCAAATTTAAGCGAGTTTTTTTTATTAAATCAAGAAAAAAATCAACTCATTTTGTTTGCATTTTTTTTAAGCATAATTTTGCAAAACCTAATATCTTAAGTCATACATAACCTAATAATTTTAAGCAAAACCTAATATCTTAAGTCATTTTGCCTCTTTAGTAATGTATGTGGATTTCAAGACAGTCTGGAAATAAAGACCAATATAGTGTCTCAATTCATCTAGTAGTATATAGTTTCTTCTAAACTTACTTATTCTGCACACTATTTATCACTTGTTCCTATCACTAATTGATGTCTTTAAAATCATATGCTGGTCTAAACGTGTTATTCTGAGACAAAAACGAGAGGTCATTTACAAAGTCAGTGGATTACAGATGGCCTAGATGTGTTACAGATGTGCTCACGTCTGCACATGCAATGAGTCATTAAGAGATTTATCTAATGATACCTAATGCTAAATTGCTCATCCGTCACACACACATCTGGCCCTCGTTTGCAAACTAATAATTAGTATGATCACATGGAAAACAATGAATAAATAAATAAAGATTTCTGATTTTGAATATTCACATTAGTTTCCCTTTCGACAGGTTCCAGTGGCAGATGCAGCGTTGCCGGTGTTTTCCTTGTTGAGGGAACCAGCCGTTACTCTCTTACTTTCCAACAAGCTTTGGAATTGTGTCAGAGTTTTGATTACAAGCTCGCAACACAGGAACAGGTCAATGACGCTTATAAAAAAGGCTTGAGAACATGCAGGTAAAGAAAGCAGGCTGTGTACAATAGCCTAGAGCTAAATAACATGTTCGGACATAAAAGCACTTCTTTTGATATTGCCTAATGGCAGTACTTAATTTTTAAATGAACCTCACACCTTTGTTTAGATTTGGCTGGATAGATGGACAAAATGTCATGTTCCTCCCACACGTTAATGGTCCAAACTGTGACTACAGTTCCACCGAGATCACCTTCCATCCTGAAGCAGCAGGATATCTTTCTGATGTCTACTGCTTTAACCCATCAGGTGAGGGTATAAAGAAAATGGGGTATCTTACAGAGAAACACCATAAAAACAAACATACTCCAAACAGGTTTTGTCTTATTGACTTTTGATTTCCCTCCTACAAAGATGCATCACTAAACTGTGAAGATAATGGTAAATCTAACTCTGAAGACTTAACCAATGGAAACACAGCCACAGCAAGTAAGTTCCCTCTATAATTCCTTGCAGTACCTAGAATTAGATTATTATATTATTGTAGACTTTTTGCCTTAAATGGCTTAGACTTTTGGTGCATTAACTTTACCTTTTGAGTTGAGGGGTGTGTATTGTGAAGAAGCAAGACATGCAGCAGACATACAATGCGTTGTTCATTATCCATTTTTTTTAGTCTAAGCCAAAAATATTTTGTTTCCATAGGATATTGACGATAGTTATATAAATAAGCTGCATTATACTTAATATTAATGTTTAATATCATGTGGTACATAACGTATTTGCTTAATATGTTGATATACATTTTGTAATGATGTTATATAATACAGTATGTTAAGTCATCAAGTCTCATTACAAATGTATCTTCTGCAGGCACACAGAGTGGCCAAGAAAAGAAAGATGGACCATCTAGTAAGTTCTTGTGACAGCACTACAGCGCTTCTTGACTTTTCATTCAACTGACATAATGTAATCTGTCAATTTACCATTTTCTCCCTTCTACAGCTTTGCTGATAATCTTTGCATTCTGTGTTGTTGTTGGAGTCATAGTATGCATACTTGTTGCTATTGCTACTAGAGACAAGTAAGCTTGCTTGTTAAGATTTTTTTTCATCGATTGAATTCATCACATTCATCAGCCATTGCAGCCTGGCTTCAGTTTACTAAATGTAAGTCTTTACCTAGGTGGTACGGACCGAGACAGAGCAGAAACATCACAACTGAAGTGCACAACAAAGACTACAGTAAATCAGAAACACTGCCTCTGTCAGAGAAAGAACAGGAGATAGTGGCACTGATGAGTGTTGCGACGCTGAAGAATGGTAAAATGGAGGACATTGCTGCCTGTCTGGATGAGCATGAGAAAGAGTATTTAATGTAATGCTTTAAATCCTGTGTATTAACAGGTTCAAACTCTTTTGTACTTTTTATTTGCACTAGTGATGGTTTTTTAATGATTTTTAATGCAATTTGCTTCCGTTTTTGTTGCTTCAATATGCTTCGTATTTCACATTTCTTTTCTAATATAAAGTTGTTGTTTTTTCTCAGTAATAAATAAATGCTTATTATCTCTGTTGCGACGCTGAAGAATGGTAAAATGGAGGACATTGCTGCCTGTCTGGATGAGCATGAGAAAGAGTATTTAATGTAATGCTTTAAATCCTGTGTATTAACAGGTTCAAACTCTTTTGTACTTTTTATTTGCACTAGTGATGGTTTTTTAATGAATTTTAATGCAATTTGCTTCCGTTTTTGTTGCTTCAAAATGATTCGTATTTCACATTTCTTTTCTAATATAAAGTTTTTTTTTTCTCAGTAATAAATAAATGCTTATTATCTCTTACTGAATGATGGTTAATAATGATATGGTGAGAAGACATTTTTATACTGGTTTTCATCTGTTCGTAAGTACTGTGTACTGTGTGAGATATGATGCATTTTTGAATGTTAGACATTGCCCTGTCTTTTATAAGAAACCCTATGCAGTTTGTAATGCAATGAAGCAATTGTAAATCATTTCATTTTTTAAATTACCCATAAAGATGTATTTTGTCAAGCTCTCAGAGCACATTTATGGTGGGATGAGTCTTTCAATAAAACATATGAAATTTGAACAAGGTATGGGAACTTTAATTAGTTCAATTATAGAAGCTGGATGTAAAAATTAATGAGTGAGATGTAAAATCATATGATAAATACAATTTACCCTTTTACATTTTATTTATTTATTGTGCATCACTGCCAAAGATTTGGAGAAAGAAAGAAAGAAAGAAAGAAAGAAAGAAACGCCACTGAGACAAGAAGCATTGACTTTATTTACATTTTGTTATAGGTTTTTCATAGAAAAATAGAGGAAAAAGACAAATTTAAAAAGTTGATGCAAAATCAAGTTTGGTAGAATACAATGTCTTTGAAACCAAACAGGGCTGCAAAAAAAAAAAAAGCAGGATGATAATACAATTTTTGTTAACATAAATCACTGTACCTCTACATATGTGTCAGGCCCTGCCTGAACAGATATTCTAACAGTGCACACTTTTATATTATAGATACTGTATCTAGGTTGTGTATAATTTCTTTAAGATACATACTCAAGATCTCTGTACTCTACAAGGCTGTTAAATCTGTAACAAGCCTGGTTTAAATTGATTATTAATTTGACTTTTTCCCCTAGAGTCATTATTCCTACCAGAATGTTTAACAATACACAATATTTGAGATACAATATCATCATGAATTGTAACAGTGAAAAATATGCTTACATTAATATACATACATTTTTTCTCATCAATGTTTCACAGCCACAGTTCACAGCAAGTTCCCTGTGACTTGTACTGTATTATAGCAATAACTACTTAAGACAACCTGTTACAATCTAATCTACCTAGTAAAATACTGAACTGAATACATGGATTGCCGTTGTTTTATAAAACAATAGGCAAAAAGCAATGAAATTCTTCACTTTGATTTGCATGAAAAATATATCTAAAATAGAACCACGTGTATTTATTTATATACAGAAAATGAAAGGAGGCACTTTAATGAGAACATTTTAAGATTCTGGTACAAAAGAGGAACGCAGATCGTGTTGCTATGGAAGTAATAACAGACTACCAAATAAGTGGTGCAAATGTAATAATAGATCTCAATTCTGACATCTCTTTTCTGTTACATGCTAACCACTGGAGTGCTGCCACCAAGGGTTAATCCACCTAAGCTGAGCCAGTCAAAGGTATCTTCAGCAAACAAGCTGCACTTCTCTCCTCCTGCCACTAGTAGTGCTCTAGGGTCAATCTGGGGCTGGACAAACCATTGCGATCCTTCTATGCGGAAGCCTTAAGGCAGCAGGTTTCAGACCAATCCTCAAACCCAAGGCCTAGAATTCTAACTATCGTAATCCTTGAGTGTAAATAATAACAGCTCAAAATGCAGCCTGTCCTCTATCCCAACTGAACCACCCGCTACTTGAGCTACGCTCTCTTCCCTTTGTGTATCAAATGTACTGAGATTGTCATACAAAAGTCAATGCTTGTGCATATGAAAAGTTCTGTCTGTGGTAACTTCTGACTGTTTATATGTACAAAATTAGCATTTGGTTTCCACCAGAAAGGATAAGCTTGCGGGACTCAGGATAAGGCGGAGCTGGATCTGTGTTACTCGCGTATCCATGGTTCCTCCTCAACAAGTGAGAAGTCCGCAGGTGAGCCATTTGAGGCCAAGGTTACCTGAAAGCAATTATCAGGAACAACTAACTGTTGGACCAAGGCACAGTCAAAATGCATTAACCGGTGCTTACTAAACTGTTTATGGTTTGGAGCAGAGAATCCAGGTAGTTTGATATTTTAACAGCACAATTTATATCCGAATTCACAGAAATGTACCCACCACACGACAGATAATAATTAGCTGCAGCGGGATTCCTTACAGAATGCTGAAAGACTGAATACAGATAGAGAAAATCATTTAAATCATTATATTTTATAAATATAAACTTTATATTTATTTTAATTTTTTTACTAATTACAGTGAATCTCTGCCCAAAACTAATCTTCTAAAGGGTTTGTGAAAAAGTGCCACATGGGCTACCACACAGACCTATGCATTTGTGAAACACAGGGTCAAAAAGAGGCATACAATTCACAAAAAAGAAAGAAAACAGCTGCCGTTTTAAAAACATTGAGCTTGAAAGAAATGAAATAGCAGCCTTTGTTGTCTCAAGATGTAGATGGTAAAAATGAGGTGTGCATTAATACACTGCTTTGTTTCACTTTCATTTTTGGTTGAGAACAGCGAAAGGCATCTTGGCATTAGTACTATACAAACATTTGAACGATTTACTGTGCTCATGTGTATAATTGCCAAACTGATGATATCCAGATACTGATATGGATATACAAAGTCTGTACAAAAACTGCTATTTCACCAAGGACCAGAACAAATAAATAAACCATATTTATTTATTCCTTCATTCTGTTTAATGTATTATGCATCCACATCCGGAATGACCAAAAAATACAAGTACAAAAAAAATAGCAGCCTTTGTCGTCTCAAAATGTAGATGGCAAAAATGAGGTGTGCCTTAATGCACTGCTTTGTTTCACTTTCATTTTTGGTTGAGAACAGCGAAAGGCATCTTGGCATTAGTACTATACAAACATTTGAACGATTTACTGTGCTCATGTGTATAATTGCCAAACTGATGATATCCAGATACTGATATGGATATACAAAGTCTGTACAAAAACTGCCATTTCACCAAGGACCAGAACAAATAAATAAACCATATTTATTCATTCCTTCATTCTGTTTAATGTATTATGCATTCACATCCGGAATGACCAAAAAATACAAAAGTGTACAAAAAAAAAAATCACAATGGTACATACAATGTCGGGGAAAGAAATAAAAGCATCTACATACAGGTTTCTATGTCTGTGAGAGTAAAATGTACCTTGCAGTCATCTATTTGGACCGGCTGACAGGAGTTGTGAGACGCATATACACCGTGGTTAGTGTTATTCTCAAAAAAGGATTGTGTCTTGGCCATCTCAAAGTCATCTGGCCTTATCTGCTGTGCATCGAACAGGTCAAGCTCATCTTTGGAGAGGTGGTACACGATTCCCGCCCCATACGAGTCACCAACAACATTGACTGATGTTCGGAAACGATCACTGTTTGATAAAGCAGAAGGAAACAAAGAAAGGTGCCACATCTCTCAATACTAAACGACTCCAAATGTCATTAGGGCTTGTACTAACATGCAAAGCAAATGCCTAAACATGCCTTGAGATTTGCTTTAACAACAAATCTTAATCTGGGGATCATTTGCATATCATATCTAGATCATATAATAGAGATTGTGTCCTTGATTGGCAACTATTTCATGAGTTAATATTTTTTTTTCCACTGAAAGAGCAGAGAGAGAGAGAGAGAGAGAGATTGGTTTAACTTACAGCAGCCAGTCGACTGCTACCAGCAAACTGATGTCTTGAGTCGGTAGACCCACAGCTGTCAAGATCAGAAGCATCGTCACCAGGCCAGCACTGGGAATGCTTGCTGCTCCTACGCTAGCGAGAGTCGCCGTAAGGCTACAAACAAAACAGAAATCTTTCATTTGATAAGATCGTTCGTTTGATAACTGCAAACTTTAATACATCACATGACTCATTCTCACTTGGAAAATGGTATAATGTGATTTTATCAATAGTTTGCTTCAAACAAGTATACTGATCATTAAAGGAATAAATCTGCTAAAAAAGTTAGCTATCGTTCATACAGTTCATACTGACCATAAGCTAGAAATAATATATTTCCTAGTCTTCTGAAACCGTATGATAGTTTTATATGACAAACACACTGAAATGTAATTCTTCATTTACTAATAATCACTCCTGCTAATGAGTTGTTAGCGGCTGCTACTTGATACAATAAGTCAAAGAGTTGAACTTGAAAAGTAGATCAGTCCAGTTCATTAAAGAAACCACTATTTTGAGCCGATTCTTTTCAATGACCCGGTTAATAGAATTCAAAAATCAAATTGTACTATTCTTTCCTGACTCAATGATCCAGATGTACCCAGGAATACAGAGCACAATTCATATTAGACTACTTTTCTGGTGCTTTTTTGATGTCATCATGAGAGCTTGAAGACATGATTACTATGAACTGTCATTGTATGGCAAAAACTGCGTAAAGATTCTTCTGTTTTTGTTTAACGGGAAAAAAATAACACTAAACAAGTTTGGAATGATGTGAGGACAAATAATTACTGAAGTTTCATTTTTGGAAAAACTATTCCTTTAATTTTATATAGCTACCTGCAGTGACTCAGCTCAGCAGGTACATGCCATCAGAATAGCATTTTTGTAAAGTATAAAGTATATTCATTTCTGCGTCCAGACATTTGGTCTTACCTGACGGTCACAATCTGACCGGGATCAAGTTCTATTCCATTCATCTGGGCAATAAAGATGGCCGCTACAGCCTCGTAAAGTGCTGTACCATCCATGTTGATTGTTGCTCCAACAGGTAATACAAAACGAGTCACTCTCTTGTCGATGCCCAGATTTTCCTCCAGACAGCGGAAAGTAACAGGTAATGTCCCAGCACTACAAAAGACGCATATCAAGATTTCAGAACAGATTCTTGTCATTATTCGTAACTCAACTTGCAAACATGCCAAATGAAATAATTGCCTTCCCTGTATTTAACTCAATATGTGTCCTAATTCTCAAAGGTTTACAAAAAACAAGGCACAGTTATAGAAAATGTTGTTATTTACCTCGAAGCTGTTCCTAAAGCGGTGACCCATGCCTGGAAAATTCCCATGAAGAACGTGAATGGGTTTTTCCGAACAAAAATAAAATATATTAAGGGAAGGAAAATCCCTCCGTGAATAATAAGTCCAATGATGACAGTGACCATGTACATTCCCAGCTGCTTGGCCACCATTTCCAAATCATTAATTGAAATGATCTTGCCACAGATCAAACACGCAATACCAATGGGGGAATACCTGTTACAGGACAGAGATGTGCGGTAAAGTCAACTAACAGGTTAATCAGACAGTTCAACACAGTTAAACTGTTAAAGTCACCATCATTACACTACTTTTCAAAAGTTTGGGTGAAAAGTATAAAAAAGTGACGTGACATGTGGCCAAGTATGGTGACCCATACTTGGAATTAGTGCTCTGCATTTATTCCATCCAAAGTGCACACACACAGCAGTGAACACACACACACCGTGAACACACACCCGGAGCAGTGGGCAGCCATTTTTTGCTGCGGCGCCCGGGGAGCAGTTGGGGGTCCGGTGCCTTGCTCAAGGGCACCTCAGTCGTGGTATTGAAGGTGGAAGAGAGCGCTGTACATTCACTCCCCCCACCTACAATCCCTGCCAGTACGAGACTCGAACCCGCAACCTTTGGTAACCTCTCTAACCATTAGGCCTCGACTTCCCCCAGGGTTCAGTAAGAGTTAAAATGATACTTTTATGGCCCTATTTTAACGATCTAAGCACGGCGCAGGTGCACTCAGGGTGTGTCCGACTCCACTTTTGCTAGTTTAACGACAGGAAAACGGTCGGCGCACCCGGGCGCATGGTCTAAACGGGTTGTCCCTATTCTCTTAATGAGTAATGGGTGTTTTTTGGGCGTAACGTGCAATAAACCAATCAGAGTCTCATCTCCCATCCCCTTTAAAAGCCAGTTGCGCTCGCGACAGGACGGGTTTGCTATTTACATGGCGGAATGTAATTTTTCATTTTTAAAAATGTTTGTGTACGCGCGTTGTGCACCCGCCTATAGGGGCATATTACTAACGCGCTCTTTAAATAACAAAGGAAAAATATTGCGCCAGACTTTCGACCAGGTTTGAGTTGCTCTTTGGCACAGTCTATTTTCAGTTCCTCAAAATAGCAACGCGCCAACAATGTGCCTGAACCCACCTCTTTTTTTAGACCAGCACGCCCATGGGCGCACAAATGGGCGCAAATGCATTTGCTATGTAAACAACGCGGCTCAGGACGGGAAAATGAGAACTGCTTCGGGCTGAAACTAATAAAAACACTCGCGCCGCGCCTTGTGCCGCATTGTGCCGGGTGTATGGTAGGGCCCTTAGAGTTAATAATAATACTTTTACTCAGCAAGGACACAACTAAACAAAAGTGACAATACATTTATAACGTTAGAAAATATTTCTATTTATTTTTCTAGTTATTTTGAACTTTTTATGTATCACGATGCAGCACAGATTTTTTTTCAACATAAATAATAATCAGAATAATAATAATTAAAAACAATAAAAAAAAAATTTGAGCACCAAATCGGCATTATAGAATGGTTTCTGAAGGCTCATGTGATACTGAACTGGAGTAATGGCTGCTGAAAATACAGCTTTGTCGTCACAGGTATAAAATACATTAAAATAGAAAACAATTTTATAAAATTGTAGTAACATTTCATAATATTCACATTTTTACTGTATTTTTGAGCAACTAAATGCAAACTTGGTGAGCATAAGAGACGTTTTTTGAAAAATACTTTCTTAAAATTACCCCAAACCTTTGAATGGTAGTGTACATACAGATTACTAATGTTGGGAATGGAAATCATGTAAACTTTACTCATTTACGTCATTAACAATCATAAATTGCTGACCACATGATCATGCCGACAAGCTTCATAACGATCTCGTTGAGAACGTTGAAGAACTCAAGCATCAGCTTGGCCCTTTCTCCCATCTTTCCCATGCAAATCCCGAATGCCACAAAGAACCCAATGAGACCTATAGACACACATTGCCACCATGTTAATTTGAAGAACATAAATGACAAATTCATGCATATACTATGTGATAAAGCCATTTATTACCTAAAACATTCATGCCACTCTTGAATTGAAGAGACTTCTTAATCACATATTTTGCTGCGCTCTTGGTTGCATTTCGTCCAAACCGATTTGGATGTGGAGGAGGACCTACTTCTACCTTGTTACTAACAGTCTGGATCTACATAAAGAGATAGAAGAACTGTTAATGAAATATTACCGAAAGACTCATCAAAATTAACAGATGAAAGATCAACAGAAACGGCTGGGATTAAATGGATGAAATTATATGAAATCAAAAGCACATTGGACACCCACACACCTGCTGAAAACAAGCCTGAACGAGATTTTCTGGAAACAGATTTCTGATGAGATCAAAGAAGGCATCTAAACTGGACACTTCATCGTTCTTTTTCCCCTCACCGAGGTTTGCCTTCAGTTTGGGGTTACCGGGGTGGATGAGGAGCACCAAGATCACCCCCAACACAGCTGCAATGATGGTGGTAGACATGTAATACACCATGGCCCTTGTGCCTAGACGACCACTGGACTTGGCATCCAACCCTGCTAATCCTAAAAAATAAAGAGCATGGCATTTAAACTACATTAAATATGACTACATAAATACTACTTCACAAGGCACCATTACTCTTTCTTTTTTAAACTACTAAAGCGTTGTACACTAAAAATTACACACAAAAGTTATTTCTCAAGGTTAAGTTTCATAATTATTGCTGAATGAGTAATGAATCCAGAGCGTTTTTAATTTTTTTTATTGCACCTCTTTTTCGGTAACATGTTTAAACTTGTTCTGTTCATGAGCTGCTGAAACTGATCCACCCTAAAATTTGAAAGGCATGCTTTTTTTCCCCCTTACACTGGATTACAAAGAAAAAGTCAAAAGGGCAAACGATGGCTTAATCATTACAAAATTACTATTTCTTTAGTTATTCCTTGGTTAAACTATAAAAGCTATAACACTGTGGTTATAACTTGAACTCTGATGTCATTGCAGGCATTATTTCTACAGCTGTTTTCTTTTTTCTTGCATTTTTGATGGTTTAACATCAAACAGACAGCAGAAAAAAAAGAAGAAAAAAGGGGCTATTATTGTTTTGTGCTGATAGCATTGTTGGAGGTGTTTAGCAAAGCATATAACAGTACCTGTGATCAAACTTGAGATGATCAGAGGCAAAATCACCATTTTTAACATTCTCATGAGAATGTCACCCGTGAAGGCAATGACCATAATGACATCAGGAGGGAGTGGGGATGCATACCGCAGTAGAATACCAGCTACTGAACCAATGATCACACCTAAAATAGAGACAGAGAATCACAATGAACATTGGGACATTTCACTGAAAAATAATACTGAAGCTTTTGTAAAGTATTCACAACATTCACAAAACTTTAATTTAAAGATGCTTGGGTCAACCAACAGAAGGAAATACTTATTTAAAGAATACATTTAGAATTTATTATTATTATTATTATTAATTGTTTTACATTTAAATCTCATGTCTGGGAAGACAGCCAATCAGATTTGAGGACCATAAGTAACTGTTGTGTGTATATATATATATATTCAAATACTCAAAAGATTAATACATATGTTATTTTTTGCTGTATGTTGATTTAAATCTAATTAACATATTAAGAAGATTAAATACTCCAAGGCACTTATGTGGTAAAAGTAAAATGCCTTTAATTTACTGGGCTAAATCATTACAATTGTTAAAAGTGTAGATCTACGCGTCTCAGCTACACAGTACCGAATATTAACATATTGTCTGATGAGTAGCACTGAGTATCAGGTAATGCAAAAAATATTAACAGACCAACAGTGTTTTAACATGCTTAGTGCTTTAATGAAATAACTGAGTCTAATAAATGGACAGCTGCAATGCATTCTTTTTGCAAATTTGCAAAAAAAAAAAAGCTCCTTAGTTATAACTGAAAAAAATAAAAATGATAAAAAATGATATTTTACCATAAACAGTAACAAGTGTTCTTTCATTAGCAAATTGACACCTAGGTGCTGCATTCACCTACAGTACAAACTAAAATGCAAAAATGCTAAAGTAACTTGCCAAGAACTGTGAGCATGAGTATCAGATTCTTCATGATTTTGTCAGAGCAGCCTCCACACATGGACTCTTCAGGTGGTGAAGGAGGGTCCAGATGACTCTCATGCATTCTGATTTCCACTTGCTTCTGCATTTTGTTGGCACTGGTGGACAGAAGAAGTGGAGCATACACTAAAGTATGTCAATATAAATTATCTAATCAAGGAACACTAGCAAACAGCACTAGCTACGTTTGTGATTTCATGTCCTTCTGAAAATTACCACTTTACACAAAATTCATTCATTTTTGCTAGAAATACAAATTGTTGTTGGTGTCAGTATGTGTGACCAAGCTATGTTTGTGTATGACATGCTGCAAACGCAATGACACCGAATGACAATGCTGTGCAATTCTTGCGTTTACATCTAACGTTTTTATCTGCACATATTGTACAGATGCAATCAAAGTATGTGAACCACAGAGTGGAATGCAAATATACATTTCACACTGAACAAAACATGCAAAAAGACGTGTGTTTGGGCTTCTGAGTACCTGTCCATGTATATCTGATATAAAACAGTAACCACAACAGTAACCACAAGGTTAAAAAAAAAAGAAAAACACCATGACACATATTTTCTACAGTGACTTTTGTGGATTTCTTTAAGTACTGCAGTATAATATCAATCTAGTGTCATTGTAATGGCCTTTTTTGCTGATCTTATAGAAGTCTAGGGAAGGTCAGAAATGTGAGAGTACAGATCATATCAGCAGTACAGGGAATGGGTTTTCTGGGAATACCATCACTTTAACATGACTGTAATTGTTTCTTTACTTTCATCTACCAGCTGTATAACTCCTACAAATGATCATGTCTTGTCACATGACACGAGAGTTTAGCTTTACTGTGGTCTGGATTAAAAGGTTCTTAAAAGTCAATTTCCCCCCATCTCAACAGAGATAACCTTGTTTGGTTACATAACCCGAAGTCTTTCAGTAATTGGGCACATGCATGCAACAGAATGTTTCATTATGTCCAGATACGTTTCAATTAAGTTGTATGTCTTTCTTGCAGGATGACAATTGATATACAGTATGTAGGCCTTTTTTTTTTTTTTGGACCAGCACTATCCAATAATCGTTACCTGCATGGAAAATTAAAGGAAATGCAAAGAAAAAATATTACTACACATGCAACAAAAACAACTACCAAGAAAATACTTAACACAACAGATAATAGATCCTTTAGTGTTTGTGTACAATGTGACCTATCAGAGTAGCTGGACTCAGGCTCATCTGAACAAGATTAAAAAGCTGAATGATGCCAAGGATACACACAGCTCCAGCCCTAATGAGCTAAAAGCCTGGTAACTGGTTAATTTTAGCCATTGAGCACAGCAGTAATTGCGTTGCACAACAGTTGAGTGCATGTAGGAAAAGTCAAGGTGCGAATGAGTGTTTTGGTTTCAAATGGTAAATAGTAGCATTTGACTGATTTAAATAATGCAGAACAAGTCAAAAAAGATTTGATCTGTGATTATTAATTCTGATAATAGCACACACATTTATTGCTAAGATTGTACATTTGTCCTTTTATGTAAAAACAGTTGAATCCAATCTCATTAGGGACTACATTAGCTCCATCTCACTGACATGAAGTCTGAGGTGAGCAACAACAGTTTGTCTTGCTTGTCCTTTGGGTGATTTTAGAAATCAGTTCATTTAAGGCAATTAATTAGGTGAAGCAACAATATTAAAGGCATGTATTGTGCAGGCATTTCCTACAGACTTGCAAACTGCAAACACCTACAGAGTCCTATAAAAGTTAAGCAGAATGCTAGCCTTGCATAAATTTCAGAATATTCATCAGGTGAAAGCTATTCAAAAGTTGCTACATAAACTTGGCTTTCTATCATCCATATTACCTGTTGTGGTGCAGTCACTGAAAAGGAAGAGTTTCACAGCAGTTTTCTAGAAAGCCATGGGCTATAGAAATGACTCTGAATGAAACGCTGTCAATCTACAGTTTATCCATCAGGAAATCCTGTCCAGGTCATTAGAAATGTCAGTCAAAACTCCAAGCACCAGGTGAACAGCAATATAATAAGTGATTGCTCTGATGCAATCAGCAACACTTCCTTGCAAGATTAATCAAATTGACGGATAGGAGATTCCATGCACAATCCTCTGTCTTTGAATTGATCTTATCCCACCATTAGTACTTGAGAAATGTGAGAAGAGGTGCTGCTAAGGGCTCCGTGGGGCAACACAGAGGAGGAGTCTAGCATCCAGATTATGTGTAAGTAGCAGCTAATATGCTTGAGACTCCTCGTCCTCTCACTCTCATTGTTTCACCCCCTCCATCTCACTCCCCAGGTCTGATCTTCTCTAATGAGCTATGAAACGAACGAATGGAATCAAAGAGTGATACACGGCAGAAAAGCAGATTCAGGCAAGCTGTCAAACTATAACTTTCATGCAAAACGGGTTCAACATTTTGTGAACGAGTCCCTAATAACTCTAATAACAGAACAAGATAATTAGTTGTGCTGTATATGTGATTATTTGCATACTGTATATGACCAGTACAAATGCACGTTATAAATTTAAACAGGCTACTTGGTTCTTTCCATGGAGACATCATGGCCTAAGCATTGTATTGTTTAAAGGAAACAATACTGACCTGTGATGACCATTCACAGTTGCATGCAGATTCTGGCCTAACATGATAATAGGCCAGGGCTTCTCATCAACTCTAAGCACAGACGCTAACAGATCAAACAATTAGTAGTGCATGAGTACAGTGTCCTTCTCTGAGAGCCTCTTTTAATGACATAAAAACCCAAATTTCTGCTTGCTTATAAATATTCTTAAAATAAATATTCAGAGTGTACACTGTAAAAAACGATTGTAATTTTACCCATAAAAGACTGTAAAAATGCTACAGTAAAAACATGTTATTCATCATGTAACTTTCTATTTACCACCTATGGTACACTGTAAAGAGGATTTTTCAAAGTTGTAATTAAAACAAAGATTATTGAAGTACGTTTTAAAGAAAATATTATTTTCTACTCTCTACTTCAAAATTTCACATTTAATTCAGTGTGTTACTTGCCGTTTCTTAGTAATTAATTGTGACATTTACTAGCAATTTCTAAGTAAAATATGTTTCTACTCCAAAAATTTTTTCAGTGTGTTATGGTGGTCGTCAGTATATGTACATGTATATGTAAGTACAAAGGTTTTAGTAGCTGCGTGGCCTTGCTAATTCAGCAGAAAAGGACTGGTATATATTTCATTTATTTATTGTTTGTTTGTTTGTAAATTAAGGTTTTAACCTGTAATATTAGTTATTTTGGTTATTTTGCAAACATGTTTACATTTTTCTGTATTTTTACAGAATTATTCTACATTCATTTGTCTGATATTGATTAATTTTGTGCAACCTCATTGTCTGATCCTGTTTGCTTTTAAATGTAGAATTTGCCACTGTATTATGTTTGTTTTTAAAAATATTTTTTTTAAATGAGGGATGCACTGATTAAAATTCTCTCTTGATATGATAGGCCCAATAATTATTTTCTTGTTTAAAATGCTACAACCACAACATTATAATAAAAATTATTCATTATTTTCATGTTATGGCCGATAATTGATAAATTGGCTAGTGGTTCTAAAATATATTATTAAAAAAAAAAAAAAAAAAGACCAGATTTTATTACAGTGTATAAAAAAGACAAAATGATGACTAAATACATAAGACATTAAAAGTTTGTCCTTTAAAACTTAATCGGACTGTAGTGAGTCTGCAAGTCCCACCAGAATATGAAACACTCATTTTGTGCAAGTGGAGAGGCTGATCTGAGGCCACATGCAAGGAATGTGCACAGGCACATGGTCTCACATCTGCTGTCTGCCCCCCCCCCCACTCCCCCACCTGTGCTGCAACACACTGAATGCTGTCCAGCACACTTTTCAAGCTCATCCACCTGACTCCAGTCTCCATGCTTAGCAGACAGGTGTCTATAATTAACTAATCTGTTCCAAACCTCTCTAATCCCTCATACATAGACATGGTTCACACACACACACACACACACATTCACACAGAGTGTCAATTTTAAAACATCACATGCATTTATTATGTTATACAAGTAAATTCCTATACATAATTGCATTGGAAACCTAAGGCTTTGAAATTACATTGATTTTGTGGTCTGGTGTTGATGTGCAATATGAATCTCTAGAAATCTGAAACTGATATTGAACATGATTAACAAATAATCTTTTGTCAAAATCAGATTTTTCCTGAATATGTCATGTGGCAAGGCACTGCTCATTAGGAAAGGCTAACTAAATTACTACAGTTCTCAAGGGTCATGCAGCTTGATTAAGTAACACCAGCATGTGGCGCATCACATGTGTGATGTCTGCGTGTGCATCAAATGTGTGATGCAGATATTTGACCTAAGGTACATCAAAACATACACAATCCAAAGTTAAAGTTAATAATTTAATAAAGTAATTTATATGCATCTTTGAAATGAATGATGTCCTGTATTAAAAAAACACACACTTGAATTAATTTAATTTTGGTTAAAAAGGGTAACACCGTTAGACACTCCATATTACATGTTACATCTACTAGCAATAACAGTAAATTGTGTATATTTCGATGCAACTAACCCTAACCTAACCCTATAAGCACGTTACACTGCAACAAGGTACCTTAAAATAAAGTGTAACCCCAAACAATTATGATTCAAGTAATTGATTCAGATAATCAAGTCTCCAATTACGTAGGTCATTTAGACTCAAGTGCAGACTTTTCACACTCCCCGGTTTCAGAGGTGAGATAATGGAGGATCAAGTAAGAAAACTGACAGGTCTGTACCAGCCTTGAGAGCATCACTGAGGTCAGTGGTCTGTGTTACTTATAAATCATGCATCAGTGAGAATAAATAAGTACATTTCAAGATAAATTCACCATATTGAAACATGTTATCAAACATGTTACAAGAAACCTAAAGCTGATCCAGTGCTACAGGAATAAGTGGATGTGTGCAGACGTAGATAACATTGTGCCAGGCAGTGATATGTTATTGTTGTATGTTATTTTTGTACAATTAATAAAGACGCATTTGTATGACATCTGATCAAATTAAAGATTACATTAAATATATTGCTTGTGTGACACCACAGGACTATTTAGAGTCACAAACAAGCCATGCACAGATCTTTTCGTCCATATTGTGGTGTACATCCAAGTGAAACTGATTATCAAAAAAATAGAATAGCTTTTGAGATGTGGCCCTCGCACTCAACCATGAATTCAAGCTTGCAGAGTCGATTGTGAAGGGGCGGGATTTAAGCAAACTGAATTATTGGAGAAGTCCAGTGAACAACACCAGAGAGAAGACTGTTGTTTTCACCAGAAGATCAAGTTATGATTTTTTTTTTTTTTTTGTTTAATGAAACATCCACATGGATGAATCATTCACAATAAGATGTGTAATATGCACTTAAAAACATTCATGCCAACTTTAAGTAAACTTCAACAAGCTAAAAAGTGACTCAAAGTGGTTGAATAATTGATTAAATAAATAATTGATTAAAATTGACAAAAAAAAAATAATAGAAATGGTTACTAAAATTAATGCATATACATTTAAAATAAATATTAACCTATAATATTTGTTGGGAAAAGTTCACATCCGTATTATTAGTTAACTACCCACAGTTGGATAAGTTTTGAGTATTGCCTCTACACTCTCAGAAAAAAGGTACAAAAGCTGTCACTGGGGCAGGACCCTTGAAAAAGGTTCTAATATGTACCTTTTAGGTACTAATAAGTACACTAGGCACTAAAATGTACCTTTAAGGTACCAAAATGCAGCCTTTAAAAAGGATACAAAGGTGTACCTTTTGAAAAGTTACCGCCCCAGTGAGCTTTTGTACCTTTTTTCTGAGAGCGTATAGTACCTTATGCACAAATTGCTCATTGTAAATTACTTTATTGTTATTCATTTTAAACTTTGATAATTTTTTTTAAATAATCTTACCTTGAGACCATACTTGTATTGATTTCGGCATCTTTCAGCTTAAACACTTTTTGTAGGATTTAAGTGCAACCACTCCCACAACCTCCCACAATGCAATAGTTTCACATGCGATGCTTAGTCAGCGTAAATAAATTCTGCAATGTTTGTCATTACTGAGAGGAAGGCTTTAATACTTTAACACGCTTTTCACAATTCTCACTAAATGCATTTAAAGACTGTTTGCAAAGTATGAGTCAACTAAGTACATAAATGAAGCATGTTTCCAAAGAAGAAAGACTTTAAAGTTGAATTTTTGGATGAAGCACAATATCACTCTTATTGTTCCTCAGATTATCTTGCAAAAAAGTTAGATAAACAGACAAACCCAGAAACCATAGACAAACATATACAGCTCTGCCTAGACTTGCCCAACTTCAAGAAACGTACTGAATCCCCTTTCACTATTAACATCCAACAGATTGTGTACATTCATAACACACACACACACACACACACACAGGGCCGTCATGGTTGGTCCCCTTCAGTCTGCACCAGTTGCAACTCCCTAAGGGTGGCCCCCACCACACACACACACACACACACACACAGGGCCGTCATGGTTGGTCCCCTTCAGTCTGCACCAGTTGCAACTCCCTAAGGGTGGCCCCCACCACACACACACACACACACACACACATGCACAAGTAGACACATGCACAAGCATAAGGTCAGGATCCTACCCTGCAGATTATAGGTAGTAACAGATTAGCTTCTACACCCTCTATATTCAGACACACAACATCACAGAAGAGAACAACCCCCAAGGATGCCCAACCCAATGATGCTACACTTCTCTATTATTACAGAATTTTTGTCATCCTAAACAGTGCATTTTGAATTGTTGAAAGATTACTCTGTCAGTTTATCTGTATTATATATATATATATATATATATATATATATGTGTGTGTGTGTGTGTGTGTGTATATAAATTCATAAAATTCATAAATATAAATAAATTAATAATTCATATTGTATATTTTAAATAATATACATTTATATAATTTTATGTGTATTTATTAATATACTTTTTAGATAATTTTTATGATACTTGAATGATTTCTGAAGGATCATGTGATACTGAAAATTGGAGTTATGGCTGCTGAAAATTCAGCTTTGCCATCACAGGAATAAATTAAATTCTAA